TGTTGATTGGCGACCATTTTGTGGAATGTAATGTTTGGGTTCTCTTTGTTTTGAACTGGAAAGCTTTACCTTTTAGGTTCCTTTATTTTATTAATAAATCGATTTTGGTCCTTTATGTTGAGATCATTCCCTAACCTTTTCACTTGTACCTGTTCTTCCTTGGATAATTTTCTTCTACGAAGTAAATACTCCCTCTGGTCCTTATTTTAGGAGTCCTTCGGGAATAATTTTTTGGTCCTTTGATAGTTTCGATGAGTATTAAATATTTTTCTCCATATATGCCAATATTTAAAGAGGGTTGTGAGATAATAGAAATTAATAGGATGTTAGTGTAGTTAATGAGGGTAATAATGGAAATTACTTGAAATTTTATGAAAAAGATTAATTTTTTAATTGTTTTTATTGGTACGTGTAAATTAGTTAGTGGGTTCTTATAGTAAGGACTGGAGGCAGTGTTACTCTTTTGTTTTTGGATGCCAATATGTGCAATAGATGTCGTTATGATTTTCTTGCATGGAATGGGTGTTTGAATTTGTGAAACTCTATTTAATGATAACTTTTTTTATTCATATTTGGAAGGTTGGTGACGGAACAACCACTGTGGTATTGCTCGCGGCTGAGTTCTTAAGGGAGGCTAAGCCTTTTATTGAAGATGGTGTGCACTCTCAAAATTTGATACGGAGCTATAGGATTGCTTCCTCCTTGGTACACAATTGAATCTACACTTTTCTCTTCCACTGTGACAACTGGGTATTGTCCTTACGTGTTGTCTCATTATGTATCATCCATGGTTCTTTTAGGCAATTGAGAAGATCAAAGAACTAGCTGTCAGTATAGAGGGAAAAAGTCTGGAAGAGAAGAAAAGCTTGCTTGCAAAATGTGCTTCTACAACACTTTCTTCTAAGCTCATTGGTGGGGAAAAAGAATTCTTTGCATCAATTGTTGTTGATGCTGTGGTTGCAATTGGAAATGAAGACAGGATGAACATGATCGGAATAAAGAAGGTAAGCAATTATTTTACAAGCTTGTTGTGAACATCGGGCTTTATATCATTTTCTATAGTTGTATGATGGAGGTTGTTCTACAGGTTCCAGGTGGTAATATGAGGGACTCCTTTCTAGTGAATGGAGTCGCCTTCAAAAAGACATTCTCATATGCTGGCTTTGAACAACAACCAAAGAAGTTTCTCAATCCCAAGATACTCTTACTGAATGTTGAGTTAGAGCTGAAATCTGAGAAAGAGAATGCTGAAATAAGGTATAAGTATTAAAAAAATTCTTCCTTTCTGATTTTTGTTTATTGATGCAGCCATCACCTTATTGAATGATCACCAAGCTTACAATACCTATTCATCTTTCTATTGCATTCTACAGATTATCAGATCCAGCGCAGTATCAGTCAATTGTTGATGCAGAATGGAATATCATATATGACAAGTTGGATAAATGTGTGAAGAGTGGAGCAAAAGTTGTTCTTTCACGATTGGCTATTGGTGATCTAGCTACACAGGTTTATCTTTGAATATTTTTTCATCACAGCTTATTTCTATCTTACTGTGGGTGCATTTAGTTGTTTTCAGTTAAACATTTTTGAATCACATGCAGTATTATTGGTGTATGAAGTTTTTACCTTTGATGCTTATCTATTGCTTGGATGTGGGCTTCTGTCTTTGTTGTCTTATTGATGCCCTCGAACTTTTGTTTCAGTATTTTACTGTAGATTGATAGTTCTGTGTAAACTGTCCTTTTTTGGACCATGACTTTTTTGGTCATTCTACTGAGAGGAAGCTCAGGGAACATACCAATTTTTTGAATAACATTTCCTTGAAACAGTACTTTGCAGATAGAGATATCTTCTGTGCTGGTCGTGTGGCTGAAGAAGATCTTCAACGGGTTGCTGCTGCAACTGGTGGAACTGTGCAGACATCTGTCAATAATATTATTGATGAGGTCTCATCACATTTTGACTTGTAGAAATATTACTTTTTAGTTATGTTATTCTCACTTGAACAAGAATAAATGCTATCATTGTATATTTGCTTTGCTGTGGTGTTTTGTGTCACTACTAAAATTGTTTTGATTTATTTGCTTGAAGGTCCTTGGGACTTGTGAGGTTTTTGAGGAAAAGCAAGTAGGAAATGAGAGGTTCAATATATTTAATGGTTGTCCATCTGGCCTGACAGCTACCATAGTCCTTCGCGGTGGAGCTGATCAGGTTTGTTAGAGGATGCGTAATGGCTGTAGACATCAATTTAAACCAATCTGTCTAATGATCTGTTCTTGGGCTTAGATTTTTTTTTTTAATTGTCTCTTACAGTTCATAGAGGAAGCAGAGCGAAGTCTTCATGATGCAATCATGATTGTTAGGAGGGCTTTGAAGAATTCTAACGTAGTTGCTGGTGGTGGTGCTATAGATGTATGTCTCAAATGTGTATATCTGGTTATTTTAGCAAGTGCTCAAAAGATTGACATATGATTCTTCGTGGCAGATGGAAATCAGCAGGTATTTGAGGCAGCATGCACGCACAATAGCTGGGAAGTCTCAGCTTTTTATCAATTCTTATGCTAAAGCTCTTGAGGTAGTGTCCTTGTCTTTCATTTTTGTATCCATGATTTTGGTTTGTGTCTCAATATTTCCTTTTCAATAGAACAAGGATGGGGTAGAAAATGGGTGAAGTAGAGGATTTGATATCCTCCAAACAGTATGTTTGATGGACAAACATAGGAAGGAAAAGTATTGTTGGACAAATAGTTACCCACATTATTGGGGATTTTTTCCCCCTTTTTTCAGGATTGTCAATCTCTGTCTTGACCTTCCTCCGCAGTAGTTCTAATGTCCTGCTCCTCTTGTCATAGTCAGGCCTTGCTAGAACCTGCAATGTCTGAGAAAAACCATTGACCTCCATTTTAGAATTAGAGAACTGCTTATTGTCTTATTGGCTTGGAAACTGTAAGACTTGAGACATGAAGGAATTCACGTCCTAGTCATACCAGCACATGTTCTTTTTGAGGAGTATGTTTCCTTGATTGGATGTTGATGCAAAAGCTCATGTTGCAATTGCAGGTCATTCCTAGGCAATTATGTGACAATGCTGGATTTGATGCAACTGATGTGCTGAACAAATTAAGACAGAAACATGCGCTTCCTTCTGGTTGGTTGGCTGTTTTATATATGTATGCATGTCATGCCAGCATATATGCAATGCAAAATTACTTGTATGCAGACCCATTGAGTAGCTAGATTGCTAGCAAGCCTAGCCTAGCTGAATACCAGCGTTTTCAAACTTTTTTAATAGAATTGATTGATAGCAACCTGAAAAATTCCCGAGTCAAATCTTAGCCCGGCTTATTTGAGTGTTGAGTTTCCTGCATGCATCTGTGTTGCCTTGCTTGACCAAAGAACATGTGTTTTTTCATGTCATGCATATCTTCTAGAGTTATCGTGATAGGTAAAGCATTGAACACCTGTATCCTGCATGCCCTTAATAGGTGAGGGGGCACCATATGGCGTGGACATTACCACTGGTGGAATTGCTGACTCATTTGCTAACTTTGTGTGGGAGCCTGCAGTTGTGAAGGTATCTGCATATTATCTGAAGAATTGTAAAGTCTGGTTGTCATATTCTCTTTTGATAGTGATTAAAGCTATATAATGAATTTGCAGATCAACGCTATAAATGCTGCTACAGAAGCAGCTTGCCTCATCTTAAGTGTGGATGAAACAATTAGAAATCCTAAGGTAAGATCTTTTAGTAAGTTCTGCCCTCTCCCCGATATTTCCCCTTTTTACTTGCAACCTATTTCTTCATGGCTTCCTTAATTAGAATTATCTATTATGTTAGATATAGCCAAGCATAAATAAAATATTTTGTTTGAAATTGTTTTTTCAATTTGTGTCTGGGGGTGGACTGGTACAATCTGCCATTTTTACTTTGCCATCGCTATTCTTAGTTTGGCTTCTTTTTTTTTTGGTTGGACTTGAGTATTGAAATGAAAATCTTGTTTAGTAATGAACTGGTATCAAACCTAAGGATGTCTTATTTAAGAAAGCGTTATTTACTATCTTTAAGTTACATTTGAGCTTGTCACTTTAGTTTGTTCTGGATAATTTTGAAGTTAATGAAGAATTGTTCTGTTTCCATATGTAGTCTGAGAGTGCGCAAGGAGAGGCTGCTGCTAGTGCCATGGGGGGCAGAGGCCGCGGAGGTTTCCCTGGTCGTGGGGGGAGAGGCATGAGAAGGCGATGAGATGGAACTTCAAAGCTGTATATCTGACAGTAAAAAATGAACTTGATGTTGGTTTCTGGCTTCATAGAATGCTCCCGCGGGTTCATGTATTTCTGCGGATTGATGTTGGTAAAGGAATCGTCCTGTATTTTGATCTTAGAGTCTAGTGACCACTTCGTGATGACATCGAACAAAGATGCTGCTAGCAATTCCCAAGTGTGTCCGTCTGGTCAATTTTTTATTTTTATTTTTGCGTTTTTTTGGCTTTAAAGCCTCGGTCGGGTCACTTTTGTCTATTCATCATCGGAGGTTGAAACTATTGTACGATTGTTGATGGAACTTGTGGTGTTGCATGGCAAATTTTGCAGTAGCTTTTTCTTTTAATTCAAAAAAATTATGTATTTTTATCGCAAAAAATTTATGTATTTTAGTTGATTCGGATCTAATTCTCGCAGTAAAAACTATATTGAAGGCATTGCGCAGTATTTATACCACTTGACCGAGAGTACTTGCTTCGTTAATTCGCAGTTAAGAAATGAGACTTCTCTGGTTTAGATAGGCTGTCGGATATCTGATCTGATGTACAAGAACTAGGAAAATTCTTGAGCATCCTGTTTCGGCAGCAGTAGATGCTCTAATTGAGTGAAAATGGCAGCCATTCACTCGTCTCATGGCTGCAGTTATTTCAACTTCCCATTCTTTGGTCGGAGCATGCATGCAAATTTCAATTGTTTTGTTCCAAGTTTGGAAAGCCTGTGCAATTTCAAAATGAGAATAATGAAAAACGCGTGCTTATTATTTAAGCTACTCGCATAAAGACAGCCATTAATTTGGGATAATCCTGAATTCGTTACTACAACATAAACTTTCTAATCTGCCTCGTTACATCAGCAGTAATTTATTGTCACATCTCGAGGTATGAGGATGGAAAAAGCTCCTCTTTATAAATGTGTTGCACATTGGAAAAAGGTGTAAATTTATCATAAGTATTATGCTATGGACGTTTAACACTATAAACTTTTCCCAAATACAGAAGCATACAACATACATAAAGTTTCTAAAGCTGTGCAAATTTGCCATGACCGTTTAGCCAACATACATGTCAGGAAAATGATGCAAAAATACAGTTTTTTTTATAAATTGTGTTTTTTTTCACATTGTAAAAAATGTGTATTTTTTCACCATTTTCTTAGTCATCACATTTGTTAAACGATCAATGGCAACGGCTGTGGTATTGTTGCACCATTTTAAAAGCTTTATGTGTAGTTTTGCATTCAAGAAAAGTTTATGGTGTCTAGTACTCTTGACAAAATAATTTATGGGTAAATTTGCACCTTAACCCCTTGTATATTTGTTAAAAGTAAAAGCGAAAAACGGTCTATGCAGGAACTAGAATTGAAATTGCATCTGGGAACTGTATCCAAGTGCTTCAAGATGAGTAGCCATGGCCTTATTCATTGGAGGTGGTCCACACCTTAACATCTGCAAGTTTCATAATTTGGTGTTGTTATTTTAGAGATAGAGCGAGAATGAAATTAATTAGTGTAAAATTGACCTTGATATCAGCAGCTGGTGCAGGGCAATGTGCTTGGATAATTTCCTTGGACACAAATCCGACACCGCCATCCCATTCTTCTGGTGGCTGCAATGTGTAAAAAGCATTCACAACAGAAACGAGAACATCCAAAAGCCAACTTTCTAAACTAATACATAAAGGGGAACATTATAGTTTTTCCCTCATTCTCTCACCCAATTTTTAATTTGATATTTATAGTTTAAGAAACTTATAACTCGGCATCTAAAATTTAAGACTTCTAATTTATTCAGTGTTGTTATATTTTCCCCGAAATTCTATCATTATGTGAGTTAATTTTAATTTGTTATCCACACTTTTATCATTTTTATTACCATCAATCACACAAATTCAGAATATAAAGATAGTATGCGATCAAATCGAAGGGTTAGATGCCCAAGGAACCCAAAGGTGCCCAGGTTTAACTTTTTCTCATGCTACTAAGAACAATTCTCCTTCGCACAAGGCATTAGCAGTTTGTTCAACTGCATAACCTTGACTGGTTTTCCCCCCTAAAACGTATCAATTAGCGAGACCGAGAAATCATATTCCACTTGAGCCAAAAAGCCATGCTCATGAAGCTTCGTGTTAAGAGAGAATTTAAATACCTGATTTAGAACATAATAAACTGTGAATTGACTTGGGAACTTGAGTGCAAATTCGTCCAGCTCTTCCTGAACAAGAAACAAGTCAAATGCATCAAAGGTTTTGGAAAATATGCAAAAGCTTAGTATGATGAGTCACTTAACGGATACCTTCTTAGACCCTTAAGATTAAATTACGAAGAAAAGAACCCACAGAAAGCTACAACTGAACTTGATCCATACAAACAGAGTCCTTTATCTTCTAAAGGAACAGAGAGTTATATGCCACACGAGGGGATATGACTGATGAATTGACGCGTCATATACATATAAGCCTACATGCCAGTGATGCCACGAATGAACCTACATCAAAAGAGATGAAGATATATTTACCTTTAAGAGAATGTCATCATAGGTAACATTGGCGTAAATCAGATGTATGTTAGTACTGTCTTGTGGGTTTTCCAGTATGGCTCTCGTAACCTCAAGAAATGGGGAAAAGATTTAATTAATTCCCAAAACATAAATTATAAAACATCGAAATGAAAGAAATGGATGCCACAAAGCTAAAAAATCCTGCACCTGAAACATTGGCGTGATGCCAGTGCCGCCAGCAATCATGCCCAAAGCTCTAGCTTCATTGGGTTGGTACTTGAAGCGTCCCTGGATGCATCACAATAAGTACATCTTAAAAAGTGATGTATCAGGAGCAAAATTGCTCATACACAAAACTCACATAAAAGCCCCTCTTATGCAATTTATAACAATTCAAATTCAAATATTATCTACAAGAGAAACTCTGAAGATAATGAAAAATAATAATTAAGACTCCTGGACAATACTAAACTCTGATTCCAAAGATAATAATAAACTCTTACTATTTTGAGTCCTCCTTTAAAAGGGCTTCTTAACAGTATGGATGCCATTATATAATAAACATTATATGAGAAAACAATGATAGCAGTAAGCATGATTATTGTACATATGAAATTATTAACATAAGTTCAAAATTTTCTTTAGATGTGTTCTGCAGGAAATATCCACTATAAGTAAAAGTTTACTAACAAAATAAAATCATAACTTGTCCGCATGGATAACTTTCTTCTAGCACATGCTTAGTCAACAAAGATCAATTAAATAAATTTTCCCTTCTTCTATAATGGTCAAAGTGCAATAAGCATTTCATCTAACAAAACCCAGCGATAAATCAATGGATAACAAAATGAGCTTGCTTTAAATACCTTAGGTCCCTTCACAGCCAAGTAATCACCTACACACATCTCTCGAAAATGGTGGGACATCCTTCCTTGTGGATACATCTATATATTGACCAAAAGCAATATGAAACAAAAGTAAGCAATATTCCCATCATGAAAAGACCCATTTTAGTTGTGCTTAAATACTGAGGAAAGAAAGCTAAAGGCGTGTAACCTTTATGACTAAATCAAAGTATCCAACATCAGTATCCAATGTTGTTGGAGTGTATGGTTTGACAACTTCTTCACCAAGACTGTCTTTCCCTCTGTATAAAGAAAAAATTATCTCCGAGCTCATTGTATTATAATGGAACATAGTCAGCTTGTATCAAGCAGTAGGACGGTAGGAAAAGCTGAGTAAACTTAGAAATGGTTCCAGGCTACTTAAGATGAACTGCTTAAGGTGAAATGAAATTAGGAACCGGCTTCATCCATGAATTGAGAAAGAAAAACAGAATTCAAACCTGCAGCTTATATGTTGTCCAATGGGAAGTCCTAACACTGAGGTAGGTGTTGGAAGACTAAATCTAAACTTGGCCACATTATGGCTGAGTTGTGTGCGTTGAACTAGTTTAAATTCCTTGAAGTTCTCCGGGTCCAAACAACCTATCAAGACAAGTTGTAACAAAGTTTAAGAAACAAAAGAGAGGCAGAATAAGCAAACGCAAACTTAAAATCTTTAATTTTAGAAAAATACTCCCTATGGTCCATTTTATAAGAGCCTGATAACTAAATCACGCGGTTTAAGAAAATAGTTAAAATTAGTTAAAAGTAATAAATATGCAAGAAATGAACTTTTTTTTCCCCCAAGCATGCCCTTATTTATAAGGGTCAAGTAAGAGAGTGAAAGTATGAAAGAGAATGTAGTAAGCCTTTTAATTAATGCAATATAAAATATTAATTAGGGGCAAAATAGTAAAATACATTAAATGTTTAGACAACCACGAGTGGGATCTTATAAAAAAGGACCAAAGCAATTCAAATTTTTTCAGGCTTCTATAAAAAGGACCAGACGGAGTAATAACAATATTTCATTAGTGAGCTAAAATTAAAACGTAACATTTAAATTTTATAAAGAGTATACGAAGATTTGATGAAATAGGCTCCTATGTCCTTTTTCATTTTCTTTGCCTTATTTACTTACAATTACGAGGGAATGTTCAGTACTGAAACTTTAAACTGTATAGTGCATGCAACCATGACAAGAGCCCAAGCCCATTGTTTTGCTGTTCCAGTTTCCATGTAATTTGTTACCATATCAAGCTACAATTGGGGTAGCCATGGCAGCATTTCAGTCATTTTGTTGCAATCACTGACATTATGATGCATATGTTCATCTAAGAAATAAAGAGTTGGTTATCATCATAACTTGTACATCTTATGTTAATCGTGGACTTATCCGTTACCCAATAGTGTGGAGCAAAAGCCACCATAAATTGATCTACCTCATTTGACTTTATGGTTGAATTCAGCGTCACAACACAACAATGCTGTAAAATACATTATAGATATACACTAGCATGAGACGGCTTCGCTGGCGTCAATTTTTCGTTTTCTACAGAACTAGGAACCTTTAAAACTGATAAACTCACATATCTTCTCAGCACACTGCGGAGGAGACAACTATTAGTTCCTCTGTGTTCCTTGAATCTTTCCTATTCCGCCACGATATTGTGTCATAATCGCAAACATCTTATTCCTATTATTTTTTGTCAATATCAGGACCAATTCGAAACCAAGTCAAATAAAAATACAAAACCATTCATCCATTCAATGAGCGCATTATTAACTCAGACTTTGCTCAATATCGGCGGAATTCACATTCAAATGCAAGCCCCGTAAAAAAAAAAAAAAAAAATTCGCGTCTGGGGGTCAACAGGAAAGCCGCAGGAATTACAACAGGGAAGGACAAATGAAAACACAAACAAGAGAAATCGAAATACCTTTAGGCTTTTTGGTGACATAGTAATAGTAAGCGGTACCGCCGATAATGGCCACAAGAGCAACTGCCATGCTTATCGTCTCAGCCCTGTGAGTATGAAGAAACTCCATTTTCCGCAAATCGAGCTTCAAAAGAGCTTCGAGAGAGAGTGAAGGTGCTTTTAGGTCAAAATATATCGCAAGTCGAGATGGAGGAGGAGGAGAAGAAACTATTGGATAGAAGACCTTTTAATATTTTCTCGGATCAGAGAGCTAATGGCCAATGGCAATGGGGGTGACTGGGTGCAGCTGCAGACCGGGCCTCAGCCAACGTGGCACACTTGATTGTCCAAATAAAGAGATCATGTAATTGCACGCTCGAAGGTTATAACTGACAATTAACATAATCAAATCACATAAATCACTTAGAATAAATTAAAATTTCATGCACAAAGAAAGTATAGCTTACATACAGCACCAGTCCTTATTATTTCAGAGTATAAATATCGTAATTTCCCATATAGCTTAATACAGCACCAGTAAATTACGATTTATTTATACTTTCTTATAAAGTATTAATATCCTAACTTTTCTTCAAGGCACAAAAGCAAATATTTAGTAAAAATTAATTACTATGCCCTACCAAAAAGGAATATAGTAAAAAGTAGTCTCGTTTATACCCTATCACTCCTCATTAATGCTTGTTCCATAGTAGAAGAATTTTTTTGGCACACAAGCATTTTGGAAGATACTTGTTGGATGCCATTTTTTGCGATGCAATGTCGGATGCAACTAAGAGTATAGATGAAAGTAATTTTTGTTTTATTAAAAAACACTGCAACCTTCAAAATAACAGAGCAGGTGATACACTTAACTTGAGATTTGAACTGTTCATAATTATAATGAAAAAATTTACTTAAAAATTGTGAGATATTAATGTGGATCCGTTTGAAGGTGGAGAAGAGATAAAAGCTTTTCCGGGGGAGAGGAATATTGTGGAAAAGGGATTGGATGGTTGGTTTGAAATTATAAATAGTTTTTTAATCATGATTTACAAAATACGAGATAAAATGTAAAGTATTCTATTTTATAACATATTTTTATACTTATTTAAGAGATTTTACATTGTTTAAAAGGATTAAAATGTAGTAGATACTCATAATCTGAATCAAAAAAATTATACAAATTAATCGCTTAAAAGTGTATTTTTATTATACTTTTATAATTTTTCTTTTAAAAGTTATATTGCTTTGATTTTAGGGAATATTTCATTGAACAGAGAATGGATCCAAATTTTCAAATTGAATAATCAAGAGCTACAAGCATAATTTGGAAGCTCGGATTGAAGCATTAGAATAATATTCTATGTTCATTGAAGCAGTGAAGGGCAAATGAGCCAAGGGCAAAATGGTCATTTCACATGACCAAGCCTAAGAAAAATGTAGACCTCATGGAAACTACATTTATGGTAGCTATTTGGAATTAAGAGAGAATTTTCCAATCATCTAATTGAAATTATCCAAAATATCCAACTAAAATATATCCCACTTCCGTCCTAAATTGAAGAGTTTGAATAATTAATTTCTTTTATAGATAATTCCTTTATCTTATTTTGAATTTAAATAAATGTTTTATTCATATTTTTCTTTAAATTTCATGTCATATCCACCACATATCCACTATCTATTTAATTTTTTAAGCATCCATATTATCATCTTCATCATCTTAAATGTAACTTAGTTCATCCTACCATCATATCTTTATTCAAATTTGAAATATTATCCTTTTATCTATTATCATTTAAATTCAAAAGCTCTTCCCTTTGTTTGTCATGAAGATCATACTAAATTAAGATAATTCAAATTCAAATTTTATCTTTTGAATTCAAGATATATTAAATAAAATCATTTTCTTCAAAGATTAAGTTAGAAGTCTCAAGGGTTTCTCATCCAAATAAGAAGGATTTAAGAGCTGTAAAAGGAAATCAAGGAAGCTTTGGAGAAGAACGAAGCCATCTACACTTAATGATCACAAGCATACAGTTGGCTTCTTTTTTGTGTCTGGTTGTATAGCTATTTTCTTCTTCTATTTTTTTTTATCATTATGGTATCATTTAGCTAGATGTGTGACTAGTTCTCTTTGTTTCTGAAGAAAAAATGACATGACTTGATTTCTTGTATGAATTAGGGAGTTTATGGGTTTTAATATTTCAGATTATGAATTCATTATCTTTATAAATTTTATAGGTTAAGATTTTTATTTTCTTTTTATGGTTGTTATTGAATTTGTGTTTCAGTTGAACAATTATGTTTTGAAGTTTTTAATAAATATATTTTAAATTTTCTCATGATACTATGAATATTCATCTTTATAGTTTTCTATTTTGATTTGCACAAATAGTTTATATTTTAAGATTTTTGATAGATTACTCTTTTTAAAGGACAAAATATAGCTGTTTAATTGAATTTACAAGCAAAGTGGTTTTAGTTGATTAATTAAAAGATGATTATATGTTAGCTTGTTATAGGGGTGTTGAACTTGTCTCGTTCCAACCTAGTCAATTCAGGACAGGGTGGGATGGGAGAAAAAAAATTTCAAGATGGGAATATGGAATAATTGCAGCATGGGACAAAACAGTAACTAGGATGGGACGTGGGACGGGGTCATCCCCGCCTCTAGGGATTTTTTTAAAAAAATTTATTTATTAATAGTTATTATTAGATTATTCAATTCACTTATTAATAATAATTACTTTTATAGTGATTTTCAGCTCTTAAGTTGCAATGTTATCTCAAAAAAATTTTCTTCTTCAATAAAATAATTCATAAAACCATTATATAGTGTTTCTTTTGCGGTATTTTTTACAATATTATTTTTACACCTTTTCTTACATTATATAATTGAGTTTTCTATATAATATTTTTTATAATTTTTTTAATTTTTAGAAGCCCAATAAAAAACAAACATTATAACATAAAAAAAATATACCCAAAATTACAGTCTTTTTTTTAAAAAAGGAAACGTCCTGGTCATGACGGGATCGGGACGGCCTTGGGATGAGACAGGACATGGGATGGAAATCTAATTCCATCCTTGTTGACTAGGAACAAGGATGGGAAGTGATTGGTCATGACTTAGCTTTCTAGGTATAATTGTTAATTAATTGGTCATGACTTGGATATTATTTGGGATATCTCATTTGATTTAGTAATTATTTTTATACAAATTTCTTATCTTTTGAACCGTGATAGTCATGTATTAACTTCTTTGGGAAGTGTATCATTCTGATAAGATTTTCTTCTCTTTGTTTTCCCAATTTATTTTCCAAAATAAAATTAATTAATTATTTTATTATTCTTCTATTTCTTTTAATCACTTGTTTTAAAATTAAAAAAGGATTTCAAAATTTTGACGGAGCTCGGGAGATAACCTAAGTTGACCTCTATACTATATGGGATTAATTTATATAATTAATTTGAGAGCTTAATCTCAATTTATATAAAATATATTTATAAACAAGAGTAAAATATATTGATTATCCCTTTATTTTATTTAAATTACAAAAACTTCCTCTCTATTTTGAATATATATATAAATCTCCTTGCAAATTAAAATGTACGTTACATAAACCTCTCTTATATATTTAAGATTTCATTTCCATCCATCCAATCGCTAATTGACCTTTAAGTTTGATTTTTAAATTTTTATTTTGACCAAAATATCTCTATTTAAAAAAATGTTATTTAAAAATTTATATCTATAAAAAAATAATTTTTGACACAACAAAAAATAATTATAATACATGTCTTTTCAAAATTTTTAATATGTTGTAAAATTTTTAATTTTGATTATATTATAGAATTATATAATTTTAATTCTTCATGAAATATTGAATTTAAGGTTTCTTTTAAATGGCTAGAAAATATTTTGAATGGTTATTTTTTCGTCACATAATATAAATTATGTGAGTTTGAAAAACTATATAAATAATTTAAATTCATAATTTAAATTTTTTTTAAAAAAATTGTTGCAAGCATTTATAACTTTTTTAATTTGATTGATTATGTATTTGTTTAAAAAATTAATCAAATTTATATTCAGTATTTTTTTATGTTCACATTAACTAAACTACTTCATCTTCTGGCCCAATACGATAAAAACATCAAACAAACAAAAATTTGCAAAAATAAAATACAGGTAAATGAGAAAATCTTAAATTCTTCAGCCTAGTTTTAGCCAAAACTTAGGGATTTAGTATTATGAAGGGTAAACTAGTAAATAGAAAGTATTTCAATATAAAATTTAATTAAAAATCATTTTTTTGAAATATCCTTAATGGAATTAACTGTTTGGACTTAAATATATGTTTTCAAAATAGAGACTAGATTTGTGTAATTAAAGACAAAATATAAAAGAGATTAGAATATTTTACTCTATAAATAATTTTAAACATGATTCCAAACCTGATGAAATCGTCAATTGATGAAACTAACGAGACCGCAGCCATGGGAAAGGTTAATGGCGCCCAACAAATGGAAGCCGCCCAGTCCCACCGTCAATAAGCAGCCTTCCACCATATCTGTGTGCGGGGGTCATCCATGTGAAGAAAGCTGCTCTTCTTTATCATCGTTTTTTAACCCTCAGAAGCACTCTCTTGTGCTGCCTACAAAACTTGCAACTAGAGTTGGTAATAGAACTGGTAATACGGGCTGGGTCCGCGGGGCCAGCCCGCCAAAAATGGAGGGCTCTTGCCAACCCGTCAAGGTGCGGGCTACTCTAGCCCGCACCGTTTTCAGCCCGCTTTTTTTTTAATTTTTATTTTTTTATAATTTCTAATATATTATACAATATAATTGGAGGATTTTAACCCCAAATTTCATATTCACGTTTTCTCATTCATGTAATTGCATATGTAATACATACATAAAAGATCTACTTAATTAATTTGGATAAGAAAAATAGTCAAATTAATTATTTAGAAAAAAATATGTGTTAGTTTTTTTAAAATATCTTTTCAAATTATAAATTAATCCTCATATTATTTTATTATAACTTATTACTCAAGTTTAAAACTCCCAGTCCAATTTTAACATTACAAACTAAGCTCAAACCTATACAAATAATAATTTTTTTTTAAAAAAAAAGTTAGGCGGGCCGGCGGGCTAGCCTGCCAGCTCGCCAAAGTGCGGGCTACTTCAGCCCGACTGGTCCGTATCTGCACCGCCAGCCCGCATTCCCAGTTCTAGTTGGTAACGTGCTCTAACCTGTTCCGAGGTGGAACTCATTCGAGCCGGCCCTAGAAGAATCATTTTTTGGTGGACCTACATTTATCCAACTCTAACTTGCAAGGAAATGGGTTTACCGTTTACAGGTTGGATTGCCAATTTACATGTTTTTGTCTTAATTTTTTTTTACTTATATATATTTTAACTTTTTAAAATAAATTATAAATTTTTATAGACTAAATTTTCTTTATTTTTATATTTTAATGTGATTGTATAACTAAATTGATCTCAAAACTTAAAATATAAACATACAGTTCATTTTTAATTTGTATTTTATTAATATAAAAATGATTCAACTATAAGAAAAAAATAAAAAATGAATTTAGAATCAAAGTCCTTGACAAAATACTAAGTTATATTTAAATTGAGTGAAAATGATAAAAAATTTTTTATTAAAATTAAACTAGAAATTGTTAAAAAAAAAAACTAAAAGGAGGTGAGTGGGCTAGCTTGTTACTGTTATGGGGTCGTGAATTGGCAGTTTGCGGCTGAAAAAAAAAAAAAAGACAATTACAATCAAATTCTACAAAAGAGAAATAATTACTAAAAAGTCTTAATAACAACCTGAGCAGCCTGTAATAACAAATCTTACAGTAGGGAATGACAACTTTTAAGACTTGTTTTATAATTTTTTTTTAATGAGATTTAATTGTAATTCTCCCTTAAAAAAAATGACATCGAAAGAAGGTTAGGTCAAAAACCAAACCCGCTACTTTTGGAAGGTTGGGTCCGCATGCATGTTACCGCCTTTCCCTGCAATTATCTAAAGCATTTATAGAGCTATTGTGTACCTGCCAAAGAAAAAGGGAACCATGAATTAAATTTAAGCACGCGCTAGGATGTGCCACGAGGGAGTTAAATAAATGTAAATTTTTTTTAAAAAAGTGCAACCTTCAGAATAGCAGAGCGAGTGATAAGGTGATTTTCACGTGATTGTTTAATTTATCCCTATAAAATGGACACATCAGGCTTCTGTGGGCATCCCACAGAGTTGGAAGCATCATTATTCACTCCGAAAGAAAATGAGTTTGAAGCAAATGGAGAAGCCGAAGCGTCATGCAGTATGTGTGCCGTTTCCCACACAGGGACACATCAACCCCCTCATGCATCTCGCCAGAGCTCTTCATTCTCAGGGCTTCTACATCACCTTCGTCAACACTGAGTTCAACCACACTCGCTTAATTGCCTCTCAGGTATAATGCCTCTTCCTGTAATTCTCTGATGTCTCTTCTAACGTCCCAAGTTCTCATCAACAACAACAATAACAAGCCTTGTCTCACTAGGTGGGATCGGCTACATGAATCACACGACGTCATCGTGTTCTGTCAATAACTCAATCCTTAGATATGTTGTTGACTAGAAAGTCTCGTTCAATGACTTCATTAAACGTTTTTCTTGGTCTTCCTCTGCCTCTTTTTATAGGGTCCCAAGTTCTCATCAAAATAAATTTTTTGTTTTTAATTTTTTTGTTGTTTATTGGATTTTACATAACATTAGTAGCATTTTAATATGTTACGGGCATGAAATGATGCAGTTTTGAAATTTTTTACGATTTTTTTTTAGAAAACTCTAAAATTAAGAAGTTTGATTTATTCATGGTAAACAATTTAAAATTGCATCATTTCATATAAAGTTTGAATGACTTGGAGTTGAGTTTTGTTGGTGTAAAATTTGTGATGCAGGGAGCAGAGTTGGTGAAGGGGTTGGCAGATTTCAAGTTGGAGACGATAGCAGATGGGTTGGGTGAAGCGAAGCACGAGGACATTCCGGCACTGTGTGAGTCGCTGAGGAACAAGTGTTTGGAGCCACTGAAGGAGCTTCTGAGGAGGCTGAAGCAGGAAGAAGAAGAAGGACAAGTGCCACCTGTGAGCTGCGTGATAGCAGATGCAATCACCAGTTTTGCAGGAGATGCTGCCAAGGAGATGGGCATACCAGAGGTTCAGTTTTGGACTGGATCTTCTTGCGGCTTCTGGGGTTTTGTCCATTTTCATGAACTGGCCATTAGAGGCATCCTACCATTCAAAGGTACTCCCTCACGTTGCCTTTTCTAAGATACAAATACATAGATTAAAGACTACGTAGAAGAGGGAGAGAGAATATTAAGGAAGATGATTATGATATTTCAGAAAAGACATGTCATTTTCCTTATAACTAACTAACTTACCTAACTTTCTTAATCTAATCAAATTAGTTAGATAGGTTTTATATTAAAACAGGAAGAGTATATTGTTTTACTATTTTTTTTTTCACGGATAGATTGTCTTTAGCTTGAAAGTTCTTCTAATTGAGATGAATATTACCAAACTGACTTTTGCCTACCAACATTTATTTGGATTCCCACCGACATTTTTTTTTAGTTTTTACGGGAGAAGAGTTTAAATAATTGATCTTTTTTTTCTTTTTTGAGTGATGAAATAATCGATCGTTACTGACATTCTACCCCACGCTTATACTGGAGTCACTGACCTGCGGCACCCACACTTTTTGTTTGTGGGTGCCTCTAATTTTATTAAGTTTTTAGTATAATCATGAAATAAATGGAAAATACTAGAGTCAGATACAAAGGACGGCCTCTGAAATTTGGTACCCATTCAAATAAGACACACATTTTGTACTCCGGCCATTATACTTTCCTGTAACTTTTTGGCCCCTTAGAAGAGAGGTCCTACGTCTATTGGTCACGATGAGAAATTGACAATTTGAATAGAAGAGAGGTCCTCGGTGCGATCGCATCTGCATTATTTGAATACAATTTCAATAGTCAAATTTAAAATTTTTAATTTACTGATATTTTGAGATAAATTTTTTTTTGTTGAAAAAATGATAATTGACAAATTATCTTTGTTTTAAATTTGTATATGATAAAGTAGTATTTAACATCCTAATGCACATCCAGCATCCTAATTTTATTTATCATGCATCCAAAAGTTTTTTTTTTTTTAAAAAAAAAGCTTGCTACTTGACTCTTTTGTATGTGTCAAAATATTTTTTTTAAAAAAATAAAAGTAAAAAAATTAAATCTAAACGGTGCTTATGAAACCGCTTCCGATGATAATAAAAGCAAGGACATGTATACTTGACACCAAGTTACGTAACTGCAAGTTTAAATCTAAAAAACCTCGCACGTGTAACGTCCTATACATGAAGAGCTCCCATGATTAACCTATTTGCATTATATTGGTTGATGTTTTTAGATGAAAAATTTATCGCTGATGGAACCTTAGATATGACAATGGATTGGATTGATGGGATGAAAGACATGAGGATCAGAGACCTCCCAAGCTTCCTCAGAGTCACCAACTTAGAAGACATCATGTTTGAATTCCTGAGATATGAAGCACAAAACTGCCTGAAATCATCTTCGATCATCATCAACACATTCCAGGAACTAGAAAGGGATGTCCTCAATGCCATCATGGCCAAAAACCCTAATGTCTAGGCCATCGGCCCACTTCACTTGCTAGAAAAACACTTCACGAACAAGGAAAACTCGACGAAGCTATCATCATCGGCACCACCAAGCCTCTGGAAAAATGACTCCCAATGCATCCAATGGCTACATAAATGGCCACCAAACTCAGTGGTTTACGTGAACTATGGCAGCCTAACTATGATATCTGAACAACACTTGGAAGAGTTTGCCTGGGGGCTAGCAAACAGCAACCAACCATTTTTGTGGATTTTGAGGGCAAATCTGATAATGGGTGAATCAGCAATCTTGCCACAAGAGTTCCTAAATGAGGTAAAAGATAGAGGATACATAGCAAGCTGGTGCCCACAAAATGAAGTGCTAAGGCATGCTTCAGTTGGGGCATTTTTGACACATTGTGGGTGGAATTCTACAATAGAAAGCATAACTGAGGGTGTGCCATTGATATGTTGGCCTTTCTTCTCAGACCAACCCACAAATTGTAAGTATGCTTGCAAGGATTGGGGGATAGGGATGGAGATGAAGCAAGGTGTGAAGAGGGAGGAAGTTGCAGAGCTTGTTAAAGAGGTCATTGTGGGAGAGAAGGGGAAGAGAATGAGAGAAAGAAGCTTGAAGTGGAAGGAGAAAGCTATCAGGGCGGCTGATGTTGGAGGATCATCTTATAAGGATTTCACCAGATTCATGAAAGAGGTTCTTCATCATGATGAGTACTGATCAGACACTATATGTATGATAAACTAAGGACATGGAAAAATCTTGCAGCACTATTTTCCAATTATAATTAATAATAAGCGAGGGTCAAGATCTAATTAGGCTATGTGATGTACGTAATGTGCGGATCAAATCTCAACTTTTCACTTGTCCATGTGTTTGAGATTATTTCCCCAGCCCTGAGATAAGCGTGCAAGCATTATTCATATATTTGCGTGTGTCTGGTTACATATATTTTAAATTTTCCACTGTCAACCACCTTATTGTAATTGTGTCACATTGATTACACACACAATCACCCCAGCAACTAGTTTCTAACTATTTTTAACTGCTTTTATTGATATGTGAATTAGTTCCACGAATTTAATAATTGAAATCCCAATTTTTTAACTTCAACCATTTAAACCCCTGCTCCCCATAGGGGATTGGAGGTTGTAGGTATAGAACCCACAACTTCTTTCTTGAAGAGGAGGCGTGAAATGCCATTGAATCAAGGACTTATTGGCAATCCACTGACCTAATTATCATTATTGCATGGTGAATGGTGCTAGCTAATTGCTCTTTCATGCACTTGATTTGGATATACGTCGCAAGCTGCATCGCTTCATAAAAATAAGAGAGATGTTTTTATAATTTTAAATAGAATTAAATATGAATTGAAATACTTAATTGGGAATGTGCTAATAATTCAGTAACAACAACAATCGAAAGTGTGCATCAAACTAAAAGCCCGAGTGAAGGCAGGTGACTGGCATATGATGAATAACAATAATAATGAAGTTAATGTAAGAAAATGTCTGAAAGTGAGGAAGATCGATGGCAATTAATTGATGAGAAACGTTGTGAGAACTCAGAGGAAAATGGGTAGGAAAAGAGTTGCCATTCCGAAAATGAAGGGCAGGCCAGAGCTGGGATTACTAAGGCTTATGGCTCCATTTCCTGGAGGGCTTGTCAGTGATCCTCCTGTTAAACATCATTCACACAAAATAATTAACGTGAGAGAGCTAAAAAATCATCTTTTAAAAAATACTAATTAAGAATTACTCCTCTAGTCCTATTTACAGGGCATTAAGAGAAATTTTTGGTGTAAATGTACAATTTTATCCATAACTTATTATTGTGTTGAATTTTAAATGAGAGTTATTAAAGTTTAAGGTGATCTGTGTGAAACATGTTGGAAGTAACTTATAAATAGGATCAGAAGAACAAAGATGACGCGGAAAATAATAATTTTTTTGGTGAAAAATGCGAGTGTAACAAGATATACACACCGGGAGATAGCGCAGGAGAAGCAAGATTTGAAGGACTGGTGGGGGCTAGCGTACCACCTAATTCATTTTTAACGCAACAACAATATCAAGATGGCAAATCATTAAAGCATTTACATGAACAAATTACTGCAGATAGTATATCTATCTTTTATATGATTGATCAGCAAAAGAGGTATAGGACTTAAATAAGTACCTGGTGTTGGCGATGGAGTGCTAGATGGAGCCAAAGACACTGGGACTCCCACAGCTGTTACGTACAATAATGTCAAATGTCAAATATCCTTTTTAGTGCCATTTAATTTACATCACTAAACTGCTAAGGAGAGGAACTATAAAATTATATGTACGATATAATATTTTGAGAACAAGCAGTTGAAAAAGATCAGATGGCTGGGGATGGAACATTAGCTCCATAGGAAAGGTGGACGTGGTTTTGGTGGATGATGAACAGTAAATATAGCAATGGTAACTGTGTGGGCTATATATTTTACTTTTGTTTGGTAGTTTGGAATATAAAAGCGTCTCAACAACAACATTGAATGTGGCATGTGTCAGGTGGGTGGGAGAGTTAAATCTGAAACCAATTGATACAAAACAGGAGGGAGAAAGCCGTAATTGAGTTACCTGAGCAGGTGGAAACAGGAGGAGTAGAAACTCCACAAAGAGAGGGAAGGCGGAGAGCCTTGTTGAGATTAAGCTTGATGCCGGCGAAGTCAGGCTTCGCCAGCAATTGGCACAGACAAATAGGGTTGCTATCCACAAGCCCTGCCAGCTCTCCGCAGCACGCTTTCTGTGGCTTCTTCTGTTTGCTTCCTTCTTCCACAAATGTTAGGCAATCCGACATGTTCATCAGCGCCGTCATGCATCCCCCGCCTCCCGCCGCTGGTCCGGGCCCCGCCACCGCCCCCACTGTCATAATTTATTAACCATGTTGGAATATTGGTTATTAGCTCTAATCCTCGCATAAAGAGTCGTTCAATTCATGTATAGGTGTGCAGCGAGGTTGGCTCCTCATCAAGAGGGAGGTTAACACAGTTCCCGCCTCATATATACTGCCTCTTGTTCTTAGTATAATACTGTATAATATAAGAGCTAGTCTGACATTCAATTTGATTTTAAATATAAAATCCCAATCTATTTTATTTTTTATATTTATTTATTTTTTTTATAATAGTTTTTGTATTAGTTGCACAGGTTTTATTTAATGGTAGTTCTAACTAATATATATTATTAGCAAAAAAATATTTTAAAAAAGATAATACTTATTTATTATAAATAATTAACTTAAATAATTTTTTTAATCTATCTTCACCTATAGGCGGAGGTAGTATACATGAGGAGTTTAGGGTAAATTTAAACACTCAGTCATCAATAATCAACTTTTCAATGAAATTAAAGGGAAGAAACTTGCCTTGAACAGAAATGTCAAAGGAGGTGTATAGGACTTACTTGGGGATAATGAAGGATTTGCATTGCTGCTAGAAGGAGGCAAAGCAGACACCGGTACTCCCACAGCTGAAATGTCAAATATTCTTAATTACTGCCATTTCATTGATTAATTATATCACGCAACTTTTACATGAAAATTCAAGAACAAATTATATCATTCATAACTGGTATATATACGTCGTCGTTTGTTAATTGGGAGAATTACAATCAAGTTTCATAGAAAAAAATAATTACTAAAAAAATTCTAATAACAATCTCAACAGCCTATAATAATAATTCTTATAATGAGAATGACAATCTTTAAAAATTATTTTTTAATTATTTTTTTTACTTAGAACCTTGTTATAATTCTTCCCCTTAATTTTGGGTTGTTATATCTCATCTCAATATGAGGGAAATGCCGTGAATAAAGAAAGACCAAGTGTACGTGCTTTCTAGATACCGCCACACTGACAAGAGACTTTATTGGATCTCTCCACCTCTCTCACCTTTAGATCATTCAAGACGTACGGGGATGATGTTACATTTGTAGCTTATGTATACAGACAGGCTGTTGGTTGCTAATTAATGGTCCAGTGTGACATCATCCACCCCTTAAAAGAGTTACAGGCAAATATGAGAAGAGGTGAGTCCCATCCCCATGACATCACTATTTCATTTCTACTTCTCCCTAACTTTATATATATATATATCCTTAAAGAGTATGATATGGTCAAATGTAAAGCACCTCCAATGTGTTAAAATTTAATATTTTTTAATTTCACTCCTATTCAATATAAATTAAGAAAATAACAGTCTACATGACAACAAATGAGAAAACAAATTAATAAGTTGATATATGACAAATTTAATAAGATAACTTATATTAAAAATAAAAGAAATACTTTTCTGCCCCGTAAATGGGGGCTGGAGAATGTATTATAAATTAAAATCGAGTGAAGGGGCAAAGGCGGTGGACGGTGGTAGTTCTTCGTCCTTATACCACTAACAACACAACATTTAATGCTTTCAAGTGCAGGTAGGTGTGTCTACCTCTCTTACACAACTGTATATGTAGCATCTATTAATCACCAACGTAACATTGTTCATATTTTTAATTTAATTTTTACCCTTCAATGCTCAATTTACACATAGTATATCATTTCCATGTTTTCTTCCAAACTAAGTGCTTTAGATCTTATCAGAAGCAACAAAACCGGAATCCTTTGATATATCCCAGTGATTATAGAAGTGAATTTTCAATTAACTTGTATAATTCTTTTTCTTAATCTGATGATGATGATGAGATGAAAGGGCGAAAATGATCAAACATATATGAAGGGGAAAGTGAAGTAGTGGAAGATATGAATTATTAAAAGCAGAAAAATGAAAGGGATATATATGAAGTTACCGGAGCAGGTAGAAACCGGCGGAGTAGAGACGCCGCAAACGGAAGGAAGTCGGAGAGCCTTGTTGAGATCGAGCTTGACACCGGCGAAGTCAGGCTTTGCCAGCAACTGACACAGACAAATAGGGTTGCTGTCCACAAGCCCTGCCAGCTCTCCACAACATGCTTTCTCTGGTTTCTTCTGCTTGCTTCCTTCTTCCACATATGTTAGGCAGTCCGACATGTTCGTCAGCGCCGTGAAGCAATCATTTCCTCCCGCCGGCCCCGGAGCTGCCACCGGCGACTGCGCCCCCACGCCACATGCAAGTATGCATAGCACTAAAACGGTGGCTGCGCTGGCTGCCATCCTCCGTCCGGTGGTGGCCATTTCTGAGTGTGTGTGAGATTTAATTTGTGACTCTGCAAAGCCGCAAAGCTTGCTATTTATATCGCCTTCTCGAGGCAGATATGTAGCCTTTCAATAAAGGAATGGGAGTATACAGTAACAGTAGTGCCTATTAATTATTTTATGGTATTTTGTTTTATGACATCTAAATTATTGCGTGCTGTTTTTTTTTTTCCCCATTTGAGTAAATAAATTGTATTGTATAATGCCAGAATGCCTCTTTAATTTGGCCCAACAAAAAAAGTATAATACCTCTTTATTTATTTTTTTTTTTGGTTGGGTGAGAGTGATGGAGTAGTTTCCGTGACGAGAAGAGACAGATGATTCTCAAGATAGGGAGAGCTAAACGCTATCACACACTGATGTCATTTTATTGTATTTTTGTAGTAAAATGAGAGGAGTCGTATCGGTTTGGGGATGGGATGAGTTTTGTGAATATCAAAACCACCGCAAAACACAAAGGTTGTTATTTATTTTGGCCTCCTCAACGCATAAATGATGCAGCTAAATATAAACTCATTTGGTTTTATTATAAGTCACTTCTAACATGTTTCATACAAACTAAGAAAAACCATTAATTTTATTAACTCTTTTTTAAAATTCAACAACTTAAAAATTTTTATCTATATTTAATATGTATTATACCTCATATAAATAAAGTCAACACAATAGTAAATGAAGGGTAAAATTATATATCTATATAAAAAATTTCTCTCAATGTCTTATAAACAGGACCAGAAGAATAAATTGGAGGAGAAGTAAATGCTTTATTGTATATTCGGTTTTATATACATATATAGCTGATCGCCTGTGGTTGGATATGGTTTGTTCTTATATTATTGGAATATATCGTTTGATAATATATGGAGTAATATATAATTATTCGTATTTTTTTAAATTTAATTACATAAATTATATAATGTCACTTAATTTTCTTTTCTGAAGTTGTACTGAATTACAGATTTTTTTTAATGTTTTCAAGATGTGAATAAACACCAGCTAAAATAAAAATGTTATTATGCATAGGAGTACATATATGCTATGTAATCTTATAAGTGCAGTAATTATTATTATAATAATACATACGGTGCTCTGCATATTTTCAAAGGACAGGGGTGCTTCTAAATTTCGGTATAGATTACATGAATTTAATAAATGCAACCGCAACCGAACTCCTTTTAGCTAGGCCGCCAAAAGTTCCGTAGCTAACTATTCCTCTCTATTTTTCTCATTTTCAGTTTGTGGTTTCACATGTTTATTTTCTCATATTCACACTTCTATTTTTTTCCCCCATGCATTAAATAGAATTTAATCAATACTAGCACCTTTCTCGGCCTTTTAGCTAAAATCAGTGCAAAATTAAGAAGGAAGCAACATTAATTTAAACCCTCCCCCCTCCCCTCCCCTCCCGGGGGGGAAGCTGAAAGGTTAAAAAGAAGTCATTGGTAATTTGGAAGTAACATTAACTTCAAAACCCCACAAAAAATTAATTAAGTGATTGTTCTGCTTAGCAACACTCCATCTTTTCTTTCTTTTCTTTTTTTTTCCTGAACGGCACTGGGAGAGACCTCATTTTTTTTTAACCTCAAGGCCTTTTAATTCTTCAAAGGCTTTGGTTTTCATATTCCGCTTCTCTAAATATGACGTAGACTTTATAGCCCAACTTGACCTGCTTACCCTATCTATTGCGCTTTGGTGGGAGGGTCTGTTAATTTTGAGCTAATAACTGCGCTTTCTCATGAGAATTTATCATGATCATCTCTCAACTTAACTCATTTGGTAAATTAATTAGAAGTGTTGTTGAGCTAGAGAAGGAGAGAAAATCACTTGAAAGCAATACTTTAATCTTATATATAAGTCATTTATATTTCATTCTCGTATATCAAAAAATACATTAAATTGATGAAATTTTTTACATTTGATCTAATTAAAGAAAGCGTATTAAAAAACATGTTGTTTTCACCTAGCTATTTCCTTTATTGTATTCAATAAGAGTAAAATTTAAAAAATGTGGTTAATTATCCCACAAATGACTTATATTTAGGATTATATTTTTTTCTTAAAGTAATTTACATATAGGATGATAGTGGTGCGCACTATGAATGATGAATTTTTTAGCATATTTCTAGAATTGAGTGATGCTAAACAATGGAGGTATTCCGGATTTCTTATGTTACATTTTTGTATGTAATGATTAATATAATGGCGAGTGAAGTGGAGGCATCAGAATTTAAGTTCTGTTGTTTGATGGCTAAGTTACCTGTCTTGACTTCCATCATGTTGATCAAGTTGATGGATCGCTTAAGAAGAGCAAGGAAAACAACTTAGGATGAAGACGACGATGATGATGAATGCCACAATGTCATAAATGAAGCCAGCGATATGCTAACATGATCTCCACAAGTTTTGGCAAATGAGTTTGGTGGGAATGAGTGCAAAAATGTGTGAATAAAATTATTTAGATAGCACATTGGTGAAAATGTGCATTGAATCCAAACGAATTTGAGCGTTGGAGGTTGATGCCCGAAGAAGAGAAAGCATTTAATGGAGAAACTAATTGATTGATGCGTAGGTTCAACTGTACTTTGTGCTCATGTTATTCACGTATTCACTTTTTGTTCGAATAATTATTCTTCTCTCAAGTCAAAATTCTACAAACTCATATTCGTCTTATCCTATTTATAAAGTACTTTCAATATATTTCATATAGATAAAAAAACCTTAAACTGTATTAGTTCTTTATTAAAACATAACAACTTTTCAACTTTACCCCTATTTAATATGTACACCTTTAAAAAAAATAACTATCTATACTATAATAAATAAAGGACAATATGATATATTCATGGTAAAAATTTAATGATGTGACTTATAGATAGGACAAAAAAAATAATGAATTGATTTATAAATAGGATAAAAAAATTTTCTCTCTCTGCCTTATAAATAGGATTAGAAGAGTATTTAGAGTTGAATTATTGACCAAAATCATGTAAGGTACAAGATCCCACTTCTGGACATGTAAGTCCACAAAATAAGGTAAATGTATGCCTTGCATCCTCTTTCTCACTAATTTCACCATAACATGCTTTAGAAGACGCAGCTATAGCTTCCCTGCAAGCAAAATTATAGTGATACCTCAGACTCACTTAACAAGAGCATCTTGAACTGTTAGACATCTGCAACCGAATTTTCTGAATCTAAATGACAAGGAAGATGAGCAGCCCACTAATATGATCATTCTGTCTCAAGATTCAACTCTGCTCTTCCTCTTCTCAACCAAAGCACCTCCCCTTCACGTCCACCGTCAGTCTTCTTCCTTTTTTGTCGGAACTCAAATGGTCAGGACTTTCATCAGCCACCGTCGAGGGCGAGGGCTCATAGCCAAAGAACCCCAGGTGGCAGTCCCACCCACCTTTCCAGCTGATCCAATGCGATACTGAATTGGAAGGCATTAGGATATTTCATACTTTTAATTATGTTAACAATGACTTTTTTTGTCATGTCGGTTGACTCAGTATGAATTGTGAAGGATAAAAAGATCCAAGACTGAGTCAAAGGAAAATCTAAAATATACTCATATTTAGAAGATTGAGTTATAAATAAATTTAAATTATAAGGACTAAAAAATTAATTTTTCAAAAAAAAAAATGATAACATATCTCCCATCTTCTATCTGAAGATATATTATTTTTGACCGGCAATATATTATGGGATGGAAAAAATTTATCAGTAGTTGCGGCATCTCATTAAATGTTAAGTGTGATTGTGAAAGAGTAATATAAATATTTGACATAATAATTATAAATAACTAATTGAAGTAACTTTTGTAAAATGATGAATTAGTTGTTTAAAATAGCAGAGAGTAGCATCAATCCATATGATTTTATTAGAGTCAGATAATGGTATCAGTCGGAATCTTGGAAACAAAACAATCCACTGCCAGCATTTAAAAATGCGAAGAATTATGGGACAAATGGTGGGCAGTTCTTTCTCAATGAAACAAACTATGCAAATCTATAATATCAGCAAGGACGCCTGCTGCAGTAGTGTCATTGCCTGCTCCAGCACCCTGAATAACCAGTGGTTGCTCCTTGTAGCATCGAGTGCTTATTTCCAACTGCAATTTGCATTTAGAAAAAAGCAGCCAAAAAAAAAAAGGCTCAATGAACCGACCACGGCAGCATAAAAAACGGGAAATTACATGAAAGTTTGACAGAGCAAAACTTTTTTGGAAAATACTCCTCCAGTTTAAAACCTATTTAACTAATTTGATTATATTAAGAAAGTCAGGTAAGTTAGTTAATTATAAGAAATATGACATGTTTTTCCTAAAATACCATAATCATTTTTCTTAATATCCTTCTTTTTTTACTTATTTGATTATGGTTGATGGAGTATCCATAAGAGTAATTTAGAAAAAATTGATAAATATGAGAAATAAGTCTTATATTTAGAATCAAAATTAACTTAACAATTAGGTCCCATATTAAGAACCGGAGGAGTATACGAAGGTTGGTATCTTTGAATTACTTGTTTGCACGCAGCTCATTTCCAACGGTTGAGTTTGAATGACGCATATGAAAGTGTGAGCATATTTAATTTGGAATTCCAAATTTGAGATATAACCCTTCTTTCTCATTCCTGCTAGCACTTTAAGGTGAGCATAATCTGCTAGCAGCAAGAAAGCGACAACAGGTAACTAAAACAATAAAAGAGGCTTACTATATTGTCACTTCCTCTCAGTCTTCCGAGAGCAGAATTCTTCGGAATCTCAAGTATGCCAACTTCACACCTATACAGAAAAAGTCCGCACTAACTAAAATTAGAGAAAACAAAGATATTTTCGAGGATATTCTCAATTTACCACTGCTTGGTCCAATACACAAGTACGGAGGAAAAAAAGGAGAGGGTAAAAATAACAAAGGAAAATAACCTGGGTCCCTCAATCACACACACATAGCGCAATACTTTCTCATTAGCAGCTGCCTTCATTACTCTCTCTTGCATATATCCATCCACACGAGATATGCCATGGTCCATGAAATCTTCAATACTCATCACATCGGGTCCCAATTCTTTAGGATACAAGCTCTCAATCTGCATAAAAAGTTAAATAAAGAGCCTCTTTTGGCATATCAGAAGGGATTGAACCTAGACTTTTACCTATACCTCATACCACCCTTACCACTTGACTTATAGCCTCAGGTGGTTAATAGAAATTAAGTTATTATACAAGAATAAAGGGACAAACAACTTGTAAACAAATGTGAACATAAATAGACTGATAAAGATGATGATAATGAAAGGGGAGGAGAAAGTAAAATACGACCATTATCATACCAACCTTAATGTCATCAAGATTAATCTGCTTGCCAAGAATTCTAGCAAGAATTAAAGCCTGTTTCGATATTTACCCCAGAAAGACAAAAGAATCAGTATGACCTAAAAGTGTATATAATTCACTAATATTAATACACGATCTCATAAATTTAACATATTACAAACAAGAGGTTCAAAACTTTTATTTTTCCTGCAAAAGAAATCAGAAATAAAGAGGAAAAAGCTTACATGCAATTTCTTATATCATTGCAGTTAGGTTTCCCAAACTAAACATAGCAATTCTGTTATTTCCCAATAACAATATGAAAATGCATGTATTTTTTAGAACAAGTATATGACTCTCTAATTAAACTATACATTTGTCTTGTTTTGATTGAAACATTCATTTATGTGTTTATTCAGAAACCTGATAACAAAGATATAAGAAACTGCATCTAAGTCTGACCCATAGATAAAACAAAAGGCGAGCATCAAGCATGTTTCTGCTTCAATGCAATAGCCACAATCAAAACCCATTAGATGAATAAACAGTTTCACGTTGACTGTGAGACATTCTAGGCTATTACAGAGAAGAAGAAAAAAGAATACAACGAAAAAAAACCAATGACGTTGAAGATTGAACCTTTCTAGCAACATCCATTCCAGATAGATCATCACGAGGATCTGCAACAAATTGTTATATGTGATTAACAATCATACTATGAGACACTTATAAGTAAATCGTCAAGTGTACTCCAAGTGAAGGTATGAGAATGAGAGCAAGTGAATCTAAATGAAAGAATCAATTTACTAATGCTGATATGCTCATTCAATTTGAATATATTAGACACTTCTATTATTAAAAAAAAAAAAAAGCATGAAGCAAAACAACCATGTCAAACATATTATATAATATGATTATTTAAAATTATTTCTATAGTCTCATTGAATGACATTTCCATAATAGCCATAGGTGAATTGATAGTTACCATATCATCATTGAAACAAAATACTGAGTATAGTATGATAATTAACAAATCTATATGTGTACATGTACTATAAAATCAATAAGAAGCCAAATTATTTATAACTCATGAGCAGTGAGGCTCACCTTAGACTTCATGCAAAGCATAAACCTATAATATAATCACAAAATAAGATGATTAAAGTGTGGTAAAGGTTTGGATTGAGTAGTATGAAATAAGGTATTTATTTGTCCGCAAAACTAGTTTTAGCAAGAGGATATTTCCTTTGAGAAAAGGTACATTGAACTTCCGAGAATAAATTTTATTATTGATCATAGCACCAAAAACCAATATGTGCTAAAGTAGTAATGTTCCTGGAGCAGCTTAAAACAACAGCTCAAAGTTGAACGTAACTTTCTCTCTACCTGGTTCAGTGTAACCTAGAGCTTTAGCATCTCTAACAACTTTGCTCAATGGCTTCCCATCTTCAACCTCACTCATCACATACCCCAATGTGCCTAAACAGAACATAATAATTACAAACAATTACATAAACAACAAAAATATTTAGGTCATGTAACAGAAATTCAACAGCAACATAATTAATTACAGCACATAATGAAATGCATCGTACAATGAAATTAATAAGGGTCATGGAAAGGGTATAATACCACTTAAACTCCCAACAATGCGATATATAGTATCTCCAGAAGAGATAATGCGATTAAGGGACACTATTACAGGGAGTCCAGCACCAACCTTTAAATGAAATGGAGCTAGATTAGTATAATCCAGCTGTATAATGAATTCTTTTGACTATTTAGAGAATAAAGTTGAGAAATCAGCAAGTAATTGAAATATAATGAAGCATCATTCTGGTAGAGAGTTGCGGACAAAAGTCGATAAAGACATTGAATTAAATTTAAGAATAATAACTAAAACAAAGTACTAACATCTAATCTCATTCTGATTAATATACATCTAGACGTAGTGATTAACATCTTCCTTTCTGACCAAAAATAAATAAATAAATAAAGTTAAAAATCCATTCTTACATTACAAAAATGATTTTAAAGCACAAAAGTTCTCTTCCTTCAGTCTTGGTATTTTACATTTTATCCATATATTCATTGGGGTGTCCTCTTTCTCCTTTATTATTCAGAAAGGAAGACAGGAGGAGAACAAGTTCAACTTAATGGCAGCAGGTTATTATTTATTTCTCAGATGAGTTAGAACCAGATTGTATATCCTGATGTCCCCCACCCTACTCCCAACAAAATAGAAGAAGAAGATAAAGAAACCAACCTTTTTTTTTCTTTTTTTTTAAAGGGGCCTTCAACTTTAGATATTTTAGTACAGTAGTAATTTAGCGTTAATCTTACCCTTTCAGAAGACCATTTTATTGCAGGTTTGGGAGTCATACAAGAAACCACAACTTATCAAACTACTTCAGAGAATACGTGATCAAAGTTAGGAAGCAAAAGAATAAACATATAAAAAACTTCTAGCAACAAATTTGCAGATTATATCTCCTCGTTAAACTCTCAAATATCACTTCTTCAAAACACCGATAGTCTCAAGTTAACCATGGCAGTGTAAAGCATTTTACAATGCTACTGCACATATTGTCAATGAAATGGAGGTAAAATATATATATATATATATATTACTTACAGTTGATTCATGCCGAATTCGATGTGGGTACGCAAAAAGCTTTTCAAAATCCTCCTATTCCACATAGGAATCATTGTTAGACAGGAAATACACAAGTTCTGAAACACCCCCCCCCCGGGCGGGCCGGGGGGGGGGCTAAGCTTATGAGAACTTAAGTTATAAGCTTTCACTTGACCAAATAAAAATGACCAAATCCTTTATATAATTTTGTATACTGGTGTGATAGATTTTGCAAAGATGGCAACAAAAAATTAGCAGGATACATAGGTTTTATTGACTTCTTGCATGTAAAGAAAGATTGTATATCTCCATATTAACTTATAATTAAGAGCTTTTAAAAGTATATTACCATTGTAGACGTAAGAGGTTTTTTGTTTGCCAGAACTGCACAACAACCCATATGAACGACTTCTTTTAGCACAACAACAGTGTCAGAACTGGCAGAGCAATCTACACAGATCAGACCTACATCAAAAGATTCAAAAGCATCCTAATTAGTGACTAAGAGCGTGCGTATACTCTTATTTTGATATATCTTTACATTAAATCATTGCAAGATATGACATATTTAACACCTGTTGATTTACCAAGTTGAGAGGCAATCTCCAAAATTTTTCCTCGTGATTCTAAATGCCCATACACCTGGCATTTATCTTTAAATATGAATCAGTAAATAAACATAAAAAAAAAATATAAATCTAATTACAAATCACCATGATGCCTACCAAAATCACCAAGTATTGATAGAGAGGAACCATCTTGCTTGACTTGACAAGCTTTCGATAAGAAGCTGTCATCCAAATCCTTATTCAACAAATCCGGGGTGACAACCAAACACTGACTATCACAAATTCCCACAACTCTCAAGTAGAGTCCCTGCTACAACAGGTAATATGTCAAATAAAATATAAAAACAGGATATTCTTAACTTAAGCAACCCACATGACTGTCTACCAATTATACCACTGAGAACAAGCACATATGAAACAAAAGCAAATACCTTACGAGAGTGAAGAGAACGGGTGGTGATAATGTGTTGGAGCAGGTGACGTCCAACACCTCCACAACCCATCAGTATCAGAGGAATATTCTTCATTTGTGATTGCTTTTTGTGCATTCAGCTATCCCAAAGTTTGCCAACGTTGGTAGAGATAGGTACAGTAAGGATACTGAAGATGAATAAAGAAATTCAGAAGTGTCCAGAGGAACAGAAATATCCGCCCTTCGATCTTATGAACACAAGAGATCTACCAACACCATTCCAGCCACTTAAGATGTGGCTAAATCGGGACGGTTGGCGGCTGAACAGCACAAATGAAAGCTGAAAACCATAATTTGAAAGTTTCATTTCAGTGCGTTAACTCCCTGGCAATGGAAGTAGATAGAAAGAATGGAGGGGAAGAAGCCATCATCGCGAGAAGGATTAAGTTAAATCTGGCTAGTTTGAAACAAAATTTCAGTCTCTCTCTCAACTTTCTTCTTAGTTTACATTAACATGGAGTACGAGAATATGGTTATTTATTAATTGACAGGAAAATATAGTGAAAAGATCCACTGTAAAAAGGTCCAAAGGTTCTGAACTCTCTGCTGTTTAGAAGCCATAATAGAAGTAAAAACTGAAGACAACCGTGCCCGAAAAGATCGCCTTTGTTGAACTGAAAAACCCAAAGCGACTGCTCAAGCACAAGCATCTCATCACTTTCACCAGGTTGGCCTCCAAATAACCAACAACTGTATCGCTTCATTATTGCTACTAAACAATAAGAAATAACTAAAAAAAAAAAACTTAATAAATGCCTTTTATTCAGCATACCATGCATTAGTGCAGTAGGAAAAGGATCAACTGATCAAGTTATGTGTTTTCAGAACAACTCTGAAATTTATTATTTAAACAATTTACAGTACTTCAATAAGGAAAAACAATGGAGAAAGTCAGATGCAAAGAGCAATATCACTAACAGAGAAGGGGGAAATTGGAAGCACATTAGAAGGAACAGGGAAGAGACTTCACCTCTGTCAAATGACGGAACGACGGAGGCAGCTGACGACAACACAGCCGGTGGAGGCACGAAAAGAATTACAATCCCTGCGAAAATTGGAGGGTAATAAGATCTTCACCGTTCAGCTTCCAACTGTCCAGATTAAGCCACGTGCTAGCTTAATTGTTAAATTAAAAAGGATTAATAAATAAGTTTCAAATGAGAACTTAATTATTTATATATGTAAATATCAGAAGATGACATGTAAATTAGAAATAGTTAAATTCATTATTCGAATCTTGTTTGCGATTCTCCTTGAAACCATTATATTCTATTAAATAAATTTCACAGAAAAATATTTAAACCAAACATCTCTTTTTTTTTTGGGTAAAAGCAGCAAATGTACTGAACAATAAAGAAAAAACAACCTGTTGGCTGTTTGCAGTGTTTGACATGACCATGGCGCGATGCTATATTTATTGTTTAGTTAGAAAACGACTAAAAATAATATAAAATTTATTTTATGGTGTAAATTACCCAACAAAATAAGTCACAATCCTAAAGTAATGAGAAGAAATAAAAAAGCAGTGTTTGTAGAAGTGCAAAAAGTTATTATAGACTTGTTTGAAATGGTGATTGAAATTTTTAAAGGCTGTGTTTCAATCATAATTTACAATATATGAAATAAACATGTAAGAATAATTTTATCTCAAGTTATATGAATATGTGGTCACATTTGGTCTACTCGGAAGCAAGTGTATATACCTAATTTCATTGGCATTGATCATTACATGGTGTGGATATTGTGTAATATGTGAACACAAGCACCTGCCTGTGGCCGAGTTTAAAATTAACAATCCGACCACCAAGTATTTGAATCAACTGGCAAGAAAGTTGTTCCCATGTAACTTGAAGTTTCAAATTTAAGCCTTGAAAATGCAGCAGTGTTAAACCTCAGTAGTAGAAATGCCACCCGAAAGGGTCTCACATTTCTCAATCCGGATTAGTTTAGGCCATGTTAAGGTGCTCTTAGCTGGAAATAGGCAGGTGCTAGGATACCAGGGCTTGCCCGAAAAAATCAAGCATAAAAATGTGAATACAAAGAAAGTAGTTGATGAGTAGAGATTTGAAATTCATGGCTTCTTGCAGCTTGCAACGTTGTACTTGAAGAGCAAAATTCTGTTTTTGTCGGTGCAGATTAAGGTAATTCACTTCTCTAGCCGTTGCATTACAAATCTAAGGCTAAAAATTTTTGCCCCTGTAAAATATATGTGGTGTATAAAAAACCACAAAGTGCTCTTGAGAGAAAAGGTAAAATCATGATAAGATCAAAGGATAATTCGTTTGTCTCATGAGTGGAAATCCAACAGGAAACCCAACCACAAATATGCCGTGATTAGCATTAAAGTCAAATTTGAGACCAATCCGAGAATCAGACCAAACAGTTTGGGAAACAAGCAAAAGAAGAGAGGAAAAGATGTTATAGAGATTCATCTTCAAAATCACAAAAGGGGAGAGCTGTGTTTGTTGTAAGTATAATATCTCAATTTTTTTTGTGCTCATACTTTTTTTTTTTTTACCAATTTATCTTTGTTGCTTGCACATGTTAGGAGAGTTTTTGTATCAAATGATAGTTTCAATACAAATAATTTAAAAGGACATTTTAGATTAACAAATACATATTTTTGATAAATAATTAATTTAATTAATTTTTTAATCTATCTAAATTCATTAAGTAGATTTTATATTAAAGATAGGAATAGTATGTTTTTAGCCGCCATCTTTATTCCATGCTCCCTACTCAAAGTGTCCATCAAGTTAATGTCCAAATGAAAATTATGCAAAATTTGTCATTAATAATTTTGGAAACATCACAAAATATATTAACTTCATCAATAAAAGAATGAAGTAATCATCTCGATTTATTGAGTGAGTCTTAACTTTAAATGCTCTCAACTCAACAGAAATTAATTTCAAGTTCAAAATGACTTGAAAATATCCTAAATCACAAAAAAAAGAAAAAGAAGTGAAGTAGTCACAAAACATGAAACAAATTATTTGCATAAATCAAGAAAAAAATAAATTTGAAGTTTTTAAAAACTTAAAATTTTTGTTCTTGCAATTTTTTTTACTTGATGTTCCTTTTTTAATTAGAGGGACATGCTTTAATAGTTTGAGATTGAGACTAGAATTGAACCCGCAACCTACATTTGTAGTAAAATTTTCTTGCCACTTTTAGTCTTACATTCCGTACTAATGAACTAAATAACTAATTATTAATATATTAAAATTCCAAAAGTTGAAAATTCAAAAATTAAAAAGAAACTGGAGTTTTACAATGAAGCGTGAAAAGAAGACATGACGCACTTTGTGTTAAGGAGCCCACAGCCTTAGGTTATGCACTTGAGAGATCCCACCACAAAACCCACAAGATAAGCCAAGATCCGATTTTGATATATGTGTGAGCGGTTCGGCATAACTCTACTCTAACCGTCCGATTCCGATCGAACGGTGTATACCTCGCGTGCGCACTTATGTCATATCGAATCTACATGACGCGCACTCACACACACACACTCTCTCTTTCTCTCTCTCCGGCCTCCTCTCTCTCCTCTGCCTCGACTCGGCAATCGCCCGGAGTGACCGAAACCCTAACCACCTCCCTGAGCACCGTCGTTTTGCACCGAGTTTCACAGTTAGCGTTCGTTCCATTAGGTTCTGCTAGGCTTCCCGTGGATTGAACTTTCTCGGGGTTTCTCTACTCTGGAATTGCAAGACATTAAAAATTGATCTTCGTCGTTGGCTTGATGTGGATGTGGATTTTGAGTCACACTTAGCATTTATTGTGGTAAGTTGGCGTTTCCAATTTTACTTATTGTTCCTTTTATGCAGTATTTTTTGGTGAATGAGTTTCTGTAACATTTACTCTATCCCGGGTTGACTTTATGGCATAATTATTTTTTTTATGTTTACGGGTATTTAGTATGTATGCAGAGCCTTTTTTTTCTCATTTTTATTTTATTTTTCCTATTTACTGAATGTTGTTCCATTAGTCGTCCAGATATCTAAGTAAACGGAATCGTGATGGATATTTGTCATAGCTTATTCAAAATTATGATCATTAAGACCGTTAGTTGCAGCTATGATGTTTATATTATACTTTTCCACTGAAGCCTAGGTCAATTCCCATAGTTTATATGCATATCAGATGCACGCTTCCCTGCGTGCCTCTTTCTTCCTATGTGAGTTAGTTTTAAATTGGTAATGTCTAATTAGAAATAACAATTTGGTATTACTATGTGGAGGCTTGATTTGGTCATTTTTTAGCTGGACAGGTACTGTTTAGGTACTTTTCATTTTTCTCGTTTAGTTACATTTCATCACTGAAAACATGCATGGTGAACATAATTGCACGCATGCTGGGAAAGATAATGTTCTTTCTGTGTAAAACATCTGTGCAGTACTTTAGGGTATTTTTTCCCCCCTTTAAACTGACTGTTTAATCATGACTTCATTGGGAACACAGGCAACATAGTCAGCACAGACTTATAATTTGTGGGGGATAAAGCATGCAGTTCATTGCTGAGTACATTTACGCATGAACTAGGCGCTACATAACTTATTAGTAGAAACCGTTTCAAATGGATGTTCAAGTAATAAATGTAGAAGAAGGGACTGGTCACCGAGCTATGACTGATGATGGGGATGCTGAACCTAGTGAAGGCGAAGTTAATAATGCTGAAAACTCAGGATCTCATGTTGAGGATGGAATTTCTGAGCCATTTGTTGGTATGGAGTTTGATTCTGAAGACGCTGTGAGGACTTTCTACAATGAGTATGCCAAAAGGGTGGGTTTCACCACTAAAGTTGGTCAGCATGGCCGTTCTAAAGTTGATGGGACAATCATGTATCGGGAGTATGTCTGTGGCAAGGAAGGCTTAAAAAGAAGGTTAGGTGACAGTTGTGATGCAATGATTAAAGTAGAGTTAAAAGGTCAAAATAAATGGGTCATAACAAAATTTGTGAAGGAGCATAGCCATTCCATGGGGAATCCCAGTAAGGTGCATCACCTTCGGCCACGTAAGCATTTTTCTAGTGTTGGAAAGACCATGCCTGAAACTTACCAAGGAGTGGGACTTGTTCCAAGTGGTGTCATGTATGTGTCCATGGATGGCAATCGTGTTTCTAGTGAGAATATTCGTGAAGCTAAGAACACTCCTCTTGAACCAAGTCATGCAGCAAGGAATTCTGCAATGATGAATAATACTGGTAGGCCTCCTATTCGGAGGAGGACATTAGGGAGAGATGCTCAGAACCTGCTGGAGTATTTTAAGAAAATGCAGGCTGAGAATCCTGGTTTCTTCTATGCTATACAACTTGATGAAGAAAATCATATGTCGAATGTATTTTGGGCGGATGCAAGATCAAGGATGGCGTACAGTTATTTTGGTGATGCAGTGACGCTGGACACAACATACAAAGTGAATCAATACAGAGTTCCTTTTGTCCCATTTACTGGGGTGAACCATCATGGTCAAACAATTTTGTTTGGTTGCGCACTTCTTTTGGATGATTCTGAGGCTTCTTTCTTATGGCTCTTTAAGACATTTTTGACAGCAATGAATGATCGCCAACCTGTCTCTATAATTACAGATCAAAACAAAGCCACCCAGACAGCAGTTTCTCAAGTTTTTCCTCAAGCACGCCACTGTATAAGTAAGTGGCATGTCCTCAGAGAAGGCCAGGAAAAGTTGGCGCATGTTTGTCTTGCTCACCGGAACTTTCAGGTTGAACTTTATAATTGTATTAACCTAACAGAGACCATTGAGGAATTTGAGTCGTCTTGGAGTTCTATCCTTGATAAATATGAGCTCAGAAGAAATGATTGGCTTCATTCATTATATGATGCTCGTGCTCAGTGGGTTCCGGCATATTTTCATGATTCATTTTTCGCTGCAATATCTCCTAGTAGAGGATTTGACAGTTCTTTTTTTGACGGTTATGTCAACCAGCAGACAACATTACCAATGTTCTTTAGGGAGTATGAAAGGGCTTTAGAGAACTGGCTTGAGAAGGAAATAGAAGCAGATTTTGAAACTATATGCACCACACCAGTTTTGAGGACACCTTCACCCATGGAAAAACAGGCTGCGAGTCTTTATACAAGAAAAATATTTTCTCTGTTTCAGGAAGAGCTTGTTGAAACATTTGTGTATACTGCCAATAGAATTGAAGGTGATGAGGTAAATAGCACATTCAGGGTTGCAAAATTTGAAGATGATCAAAAGGCATATGTTGTCACATTAAACCATTCGGAGCTGAGAGCTAACTGTAGTTGTCAAATGTTTGAGTATTCAGGCATCCTTTGCAGGCATGTCTTAACCGTTTTCACAGTGACCAATGTACTTACATTACCACCCCATTACATCTTAAGACGGTGGACAAGGAATGCAAAATCTGGTGTTGGATCAGATGAACGTGCTGGTGAATTACATGGACAGGAGTCTCTAACATCACGGTATAGCAATCTATGTAGGGAAGCAATCAGATATGCTGAGGAAGGGGCAGTAGCTGTGGAAACATATAATGCTGCTTTGAGTGCCCTTAAAGAAGCTGGCAAGAAGATCGCTGCTGTGAAGAAAAGTGTTTCCAAAGTTGCTCCTCCTAGCAATCAGACTGGCGGGACTGCCTATGATGACAAAAAAACTTCTACGTCAACTTCAGATGCAACCCCTCTTCTGTGGCCACAGCATGATGAAATAATGAGGAGGTTTAATCTTAATGATGCTGGTGCTCCTGTTCAATCAGTTGCTGATCTAAATTTGCCACGAATGGCTCCTGTGTCACTTCAGCGAGATGATGGTCCATCTGACAGCATGGTATGTAGAAAGGTATCATTTCTTTGTTTATATTGTTTATGTTTAATATTTTATTTGGTTTCTAATAGGACTGCTTGAAATTGATTCTGATCCTTATTGGTTCAATTAGGTGGTTCTCCCCTGTCTGAAATCAATGACCTGGGTGATGGAGAACAAAAATTCATCTCCTGGTAATAGAGTAGCTGTTATCAATTTGAAGGTATGTTTATTATACAACTCAAACTATAAAATGCTTGTATAAGTATTATGCACTTTATTGCTCAAGATTTAGTTGAGGTACTAATGCTTTATATGCATGGGAAGTAACTTATGTTGCCACTTGAAGGCATAGCCATTTTGGGTTTAAATTTGTCTTTATCCCTTAATAAAATACTTGAACCAGTTAAGCGTTCAAGGTCTTTAACGTGTCCCAAATTTTACTATGGCAGTTACAAGATTACAGCAGGACTCCATCAGCAGAATCTGAGGTGAAGTTTCAGCTCTCTAGAGTTTCTTTGGAACCGATGTTGAGGTCTATGGCCTACATCAGTGAGCAGCTCTCAACACCAGTTAATAAGGTTGCTGTAATAAATCTCAAGGTATGCAATTCTTATAAGTCTTTTCATTTAAATCTGATCATCCCTAAGATATGTTGCTTTCTAGTTCTACCACTACAAAAGCGGAGATTTGTGCCTGTTGCACATTTCTAATTGGTAAATTTTTAGAGCAATTATCTTCATAACAACTAGCATTGAGGGGTTTATGTGTTCATTGCTTTTTTTTTTTTTGGGGGGGGGGGGGTTTATGCGCATGTTGATTTTCTCTTCATGAAGCTAGAATATGTCATTAAGGGCCTTGTGCTTGATAAGGCCTCGTCTGCTGAGGAGGATGCTAATATTAGTTATCATTTTTCAGAGCTTCCTGGTGCAATGGAGAATTTTGCCTTATAGGGTGACTTGAGGGTTTTTAAGTCAGATAAGTTACAGGAACAAGACTAACATTTAGTATTAGACTTGATGCTCCACATAATATATTTGCGCCTATCTCAGTTCAAAATATAAAAATATTAGGGAACGGGCAGAGACTGGAAGCCCCTGGTATCTTCCAGCCAAATGGGAAGTACCATTCTGACTTAGAAGTCATATTAACCATTCTGACGTAGAAGTCATATTAGGAGGCAAATAGCTCCTACCTAGAGAAGGAATCATGTTCATTGTGCTTATCAGCCAGCCTTAGCTGGACTGGAACTATTGTTATCCAGTTCATGGTATTTCTATAGTTATATATTAGATGTGGGATTGTTAGGCCTTTATTCGTTTTGGGAACATGACCTTGTGGAAATTGTGTCTGTTACATGCTCCATCAAAGGGAAAAAAAGAAATGAAGATAGAGCAAACCACCCGAGTGAGGATGGGCTAGGGTATGGGTAGAGGTCAAAAGTTCAAACTCTAGTGATGTAATTAGAAAAAGGAAAAAAATAAAATCGGAAGAGCATGATTGGAATGGTTGAAATCTTGCCTCCTATTATATTTTTTGTTTCAACTGTAATAGTAGTGCAAAAAAGTCTCTCTCGATCCTCTGTCTATGTGCTTTGTCCAGTACATAAATATTGAACGTGATAATTTAAATCGTTTCAGCTTCAAGATACTGAGACAACTTCTGGGGAGTCTGAAGTCAAGTTTCAGGTCTCCAGGGACACATTGGGTGCCATGTTACGATCAATGGCTTATATTCGTGAGCAACTCTCTCATGCTGTAAGCTTTCGTTCCTGTTATTTATATGCAAAGGGATGGATAGATTCTTTCTTTAAAAAGATAACTTAGGTTCTTATAGTAGTAAACTCACTTATAAAATGGTAAATACGGTTTCCTTTCGAGGTGCCAAATCTTTATGTGATATTATGCCCTTTCAATTCAATCATAGCCCTATCTTTATGTGATATTTTGCCTTTTTGATTCAATCATAACCCATCACTTCCCCACCTTATTGGAAACACCACTTCTTTTGAATCAGCATATGCGTGTAATTTTAGGCACTCAAAACTGTCTGTTCCCATATGCAATGCTTCTCCACCTCATGGAACTTTTGTTTGCAACTAGCCGGCTGTTATTCCCATGACTTTTAAAGAACGGTAGTGGGTTTGCCACACCTAAAGACTTTCTTAAATAAGCAACCAATCAACACTACTGGGGGCAAAATTAGTCTTTTGCTAATCCTGTTAAGATTTTCGTTTATTATTATATGCTCTGGATTTTCAAGCTTCCCTTTTCTGGTTCCTTTCCTGAAATAAAAATTAATGATGTAAAAATTGGCAGGGAGATACGCAGTCAGAGCCTGTATGGAAAAGGCATCGAAAATAAGCCTGAAAAGTTTCTTTTCCACGCTCAGGTGGGTTTGTGACTACTTTGACGGCAATGTGTAGTGCCCAGTGAATACGTGAATGGCTTAGAAAAATGTAGTGTTTTATTTTAATTTGGATAGCCTTTATTTTAGGGAGGAAAAAAAAAAAGAGAAAATTCTCTGCAGAGAGTTGTTGCCTAACATTTGTACAGGTATTGTCCCATAGGCAACAAGCATGTATTACATGGAATCAGTTGATATATCCCCTACCCCCCCCCCCCCTTTTTTTCCTGCCAAAGCGACCTGACCCGCTCTAATGGAGTAGGAATTTGGGTTTCAATTCATTCTTCTTAATCTTAAGCCACAAGGCATCTTGCAGTGAGCGGGGGCTGTCTGGTTCCTCTCCATGGAAAGGATATTCCGTTCTACCTTGAGGTAAAAAAAGAAATTTGGATAGGTTTGATTTTAATGATTTCTTTAAAGGGAAAATTGCCGCACAAAAAAAAGATTGGGGAAATTGCAAAATTGCAAATTTAAGATTTTCTGAAAACTATGTTGTCATTTGCAAATCAATTGTTGGCAAAACCTATATAAATATTGTAACGGGTTCTAATTTTTTATTTTTTTCCATTTTTTATTTTTTATTTTCCCTTTAAAATATGTTTAATCTAATTTTCTCAAAGTTTGCATGTGAAAAATTGTTTTGTTTCTGGGTATGAAGAAAATAATTCGCAAGAGATCATTTAGATTTTAGATTCTAGTTTTTGGATTTGTCACAGTACTTTCACAGACACAGTGTACGTGATCCTTTGATCAATTTTGCCTTCCGAACAATTATTTAGTAGTGCTGTGAACCTTTTCATCTATTTCCAAATCTTTCCCCCCCCCCCCTCGTTCCCTTGACGTGGGTTGATGAGGATTAAGGATAACAAAATGTCTATTTTTGGGCATTTAAAACCATCGTCTTAATGCCCTGCAGAGCCATGTGATGCTATTGGTTTTCATGTTTTGAATTATGCTTGTGTTCCCAAAAATGAAGGGTCTATATTTATAGTCAAGTGAATTCACAATTTATACTCCATGAGCTGCTAACTTGGGTGGTGTGGGCAGGTGTCTGGACGCAACAGGTTAAAAACTCAATATGGTATCAACTATCAAGTATTACCTCCGATCCTTAATATAAGACTATTTGATTTTTATTTTGATCTTAAATATAAGACTCTAATCTACTTTGTCTCTCATATTTATGCATTTTTTTCAAGGTAGTCCTTCTAATAATTGTAGTTCTAACCAATATAGTTTATTAGTAAGAATATTTTAGGAAAGACAACACCTATTTATTACAAATAACTAACTTAATTTCTTTCCTTAATTTCCTCAAATTAGTCAACTGGGTCTTATAATTAGGATTGGAGGTAGTAGTATTTAGATAACTAATTTTTGAATATTAAAAAATTAGTTAGATTAGTTATTTATAATAAATAGATTGTATCGTTCTTAAAATATTTTTATTAATCATATGTATTAAAATTAACATTTGATGAAAACTTTTTAAGCATGCAATCACGGTAAAATGAATAAATACAAAAGATATTTTGCAAATGGTTGAAAATGAAATATCTTGAAAGGTTTTAAGCAAAAAAAGAAAAACGTATTATTTTTATATTTTGTCATAATTTATGACTCAATTTATTTTTGTTATTTAGTGATTTTTTTTATTTATAAAGATCACTTGTTCCATTTTTTTTCCCTTCCATTTTGTAAATTCAACGGCCTTTCAAGTCTTGAATAAAGCTTGAGAATTCCGTTGATTGTTTTAAAAAAAAAACAATATGATGAATTTCGGCAAAAGAAGTTTCCAAGTTATCCTTTGACTTTTGTGAATAATTGAGAATTAGTAACACGGCACAATTACAGGAAATGTCGAATATGGCTGTCACCTATTTGCGTCTTTTGTGTTTCTACCTGAGCTACTCTTTAAAAATAACAATTTCGTTAGAGAAACTGAGTCTGAAAGAACCAACTTATCAAGATTTTATTAGTTTCAGCCACTAATTTCCTGGACCAAAGCCATATCGACGTACACAATCCAAGGATCAAATTACACACAATTACTATCCTGATTAAATCGTGCTACCGATTCAAATTGATATGCTATTTGGAATTCCCTTTCCAGTAACTCCAGGACCAGAGAATGGCTTCATTAGCTCGTAAGGCACAATCCCAGCTCCAGTCCTATTCTTCAACTTTGCATCACCATTCCTTGCGTCTATAATCTCCTCAATCTCCTTCAGCCTCCCATTGAACCTCCCGAATGCTGCCTTTATGGTTGGATCCTCAGCCCATGAAGGATCTATCTTCTGCCCGATATACTCTTCATCTGGGGAATGATTAGATAGCAGATACAGGACTGCCATCACTATAGTGGCCTGAATCTGTGAAGGGAAATTCTCCAAAAGGGTTTGCTCAGGCTTGATCAGAAATCTCTCCCATTCTTCCTTAGATGCGTCCTCTGTAGGCATTTTGTTTCTGGCAATGGAGGGTCTGTTGGGGAAGTAGCCTGCATAAGCATATTGGGAAAAGTTCACAGAAGCATGATGAGCTGAGGCTAACCAGGCTATGGTGGTGAGGATGTGAATTAGGTCTTGTGGGGTTTGGAGATTTGGCCACCACGGCTCATTCTTCTTGTCTGCATGGCCCACTGTTTTGATCTCAGTCCACCATGCTTGGAGCTCTTGGTCTGACTCTATGAGGCTTGGGTTTGGATAGTAGTGATTCACATAGTCTGTGAACCACTGCTTGATGGCATCCCATATAAGGAGGCCATCATTGGCAAAAGGATAGTCTTCTATTGTAAGCTTCAGGCCGTGTGGTGCATTAGGATCTTCCTCTGCCATTCCTCTGCAGCAGCAGCAACAAAAATTATGTCTATTCTAAAATAATCTTTTTCTCTTATCGATGTGCATCAGTTGTGTTACAACTATACATTTTATATATACGAATATTGTAAATACATGTCAGTATGAAGTCGTAAAAATATCATTCAACTTGTGTATCAGGCCTCAAAACAAGTGTGCTTGTGCTTTATGCATTAGGATCTTCCTCTGCCATTAGATTGTATCTAAGTGGCACATGTCCCAGCTCAAACATAATTAGACAGTATCACTAGATGGACAGTGGTGAGCATATATGTACCTGTCAATAAGATCACTCGGAAGTGCCTGTAAATCAAATCTCCAAAGTTGGTTATACACTTCAGAGCTGAACTCCATAGAATATTTTCCGGTTGAGAAAGAGATCTCAATGATGCCGTTAGCACTGATGAGTGCTTGACGAGCAAGAGCATTGATTGCCATCGTATATCTCAGATGAGGATGTAGCAATCTGTAAATTGGATGCATCGCACTCAGCTGTCTATTTGTTGCTATCACAAATGGTTCTACAGCACAGTGACTTCTTAGCCTGCAAATATTGGCATACACACTTAGTCTTACTTCAAAGGCAATCCTGAACTTCTATTGAGCCCTATCAAATGGAATGTTTTAATTAGAAATCACAGACATACTTGGACCATACTACCATGACATTATTAGCTGACCAAAAGATTACATAGTAATATAGTATCATTACCAGAAAATTAAATAGATTATAAAGTATTACTCTATTCTGCAATAAAATTTAAACAAAATAAAAATTTTCAAAGTGGTAAAAAATCTTGGAATAAACTGATTGATATTAAGTGGTCTCAGAGATGACTATGAGGTTATGCTCATACATAATAAACTAATTACTTGGTAAACGTATAAGTTAGTCCTCAGGAAGAACAACGAACTCCATATAAGTAAATGCACTTAGCATCCCTCTGTTACTTCACAAAACGACTAATTATATATCTGATATTTCATGTTTGATGACTTAAACGTGAGCATATCAGTGCCTATGTTTATTATTATTATTATTTTAATAGAACAAGGAGCTTTCATGAAGAAAACAAAAGTAACTCGATGCATGAAAGATGGGTAGAAGATAAAGGCACGACAATACGAACCAATGGGTGATAAGTTCATGAACACCAGAATCATGGGCAAGGACATGAGCTTTGGCAAGTCTCCAAAGCCAAATATTAGTGGAACCACCAGAAGGCGTGAAAACTTGCTTCCACTGTGGCTTCCCATCCATCGCTGGTCTAGTTAGCTCAATGGCCAGTGGCTTCAATGTGCCTTGTGTGGTCAAGAAGAACACTGTCCTTGATCCGTACAACGTTCTTCCCTCAAGTTGCCTCACTTTGCTCACATATGGCATTAGTAAATCATGGTAATCTATAATGAATAACTTCTTCTCTTCAATGGCCTGCATTGCGCGCGCGCACATATATATTCATCAAACAATCCTATGAGTTATGACCAATGTTTTACTGAAATGACCGGTTATTATTAGATCAGTGAAAACAATGGTGCACATTACAGTCCATCGTTTCGACTGTGATCAGACCATGGTTGGATAATGTGTTTAGTTAAAACTATAACATGCAGGACTAAACAAATAATCCGTAACATTGCGTAACAACTATGGTCAATTAACTTGATAGAGTACCTTTTCAACAGCGGTGTAGCCACTTATCTGTTGCTCAATTACATCTCTGGTGATTGCTGATTCTGGCGGACCATAGATACTGGGGTTTAATTTACTGACCAGTGGCCATTCCTGCACGATTAATATAAAATAGACCGATAAGAAAACATATAAAATTATTGAAAAATATACAGATAATATAATAATGAAGAAGTGTAATATATTCACATCAAATCGTACCTTGACCAGTTTTATGGTGCAGGGGTTAACACCTGCCAGAGTCTCCCTGGCAAACTCCTCATCAGAAAACCAAAAGAATTCATCCCCTGTAATTCCAAATTTCACAAACATATCAAGTAAAGAGAGTTACAGACAGTGAATTAATTGGTAATTATAAGATCATTTGTCAGCTATTTTCTGTTGGCTTAAATTTTGAATTAGATTACTACTTACTGCGCAAGACCTCAAAGCAGCTTTAATGAGGCTGGGGATGAGCGTCTGGAGGAGACCATTGCCACTGTTCTTGAGAGGCGGTACATTATACCCCTCTTTGAAAAGCATATCTATCTCTGAGAATGTGGGAAATCCAAGGTTTTGATCTAACACCGCCGCATCTAAGGATTGTATCAGTGCACTCACCCCTGCAGATACCGTGGTTGTCGTGAACTGAGTCTGCTTTGTCTCTGAGAATGCTTCGTCCCGGGGAACGTACACACTTGAGCTTCTCTTCTCCGAATGTGGGTCTGCGTATACAAATCACAACACAGTTCCGCAATTAAGCGTCTATATAATGCAGCCCACGTAAATAACAGCTTGGACCAGTGTAGACAGTTCAATTGCGGATATATCTGAAATGTAAAAGTTCTAATACACAAAATTGAACAGGGAATGAA